AGAAGCAACCAACTAAACTGATCCCTCATTTGTGTGCCTGATCAGGCGTCCGCACATTCGTGCAAACGCACAACACGCGTTGGACTGATGTTGCTATCCTGTCTGTGCTGGTGGTCTGTTGTCGGTCAACTGCTATCTGCTACAAATGAATTGATTTTTCATCTGGCGTAGGAATTTGACCGAATCAGTTTCCTTTGATTTGTGTCGCATTTTTGTTTTTAACCTTTGAGCCATGTGGGCTTTTGTTGAACTTTGCATTTTATCATTCATCGACATAGATCAGTTGTGTCGGTGGTCAGTTTCCTTGATTTGTGTCGCATTTTTGTTTTTAACCTTTGAGCCATGTGGGCTTTTGTTGAACTTTGCATTTTATCATTCATCGACATAGATCAGTTGTGTCGGTGGTTGAAACTTGATGTTTTAATGTGGCGAAAATAGATTTTCCTCTCTCCGTCAATAAATTAGTTACAAACCTATGTCCATGCCTCTTTTTATAGCAAGATTAGTATGATTTACTGTTTTAGAAAGTTTCCTAAACGTTGCAATAATCTCTTTACAGGTGAGACAGTGCCCTCTCCGTCTAAAGCTGCTCTCTGTAACTATGGTGCTCAAATACGACTGTACCGTTACGCATGACCTTTGCACACGACAAGTTAATCTAGTTCTTGGGAGTTGTTCCCCTTCTGTTCCGACCGAATTCAACCTTTATTTCGTTATCATTATAGACAGGTTACTATGTATAGCAAACCTAGTACGTGCTTTGTATGATTGTATTGTGGAGTTTGGCTACCTGGTAATTACACGTATCGGAACCCCACCGCAATGAATGACCATCGTTAGTTTTTCTAGCACACATCCGGATTTTGGGAATTTTGGTACTTTCGGATGTCCATGCTTCTATACTTGTAACTTCAGACAGTTCACCTTGATTGAAGTTTGTGGACCCGTTTGATATATCCCCTTATTGTCTCCCAGTTCAACACATATGTATGTTTCCTTTCCTGCTGCCTGAGGTGCACACTGAATTTTTTCCACGGGCTTTGCCAGATCCTGGTAGACCTCGAAAAACTCCAGCCTATATTCCACCTAGATGGCCTTCTTCCATTGAGTAAACTTTTTAAACTTTGCATGTTTTGCGTATGACGTTTCTGTTTGTGGTGCGATATTCTATTTAGAATGCGACTGAGGGTACTGTGCCTGTTATACTTCCACCTTGCACGCATCACCTGAACTGAAGCAAATAGTTAGTTCGTTATGTGGGTGTTGCCTGAACTAGCTCCCACATGCTCAGCGACTTGAACATGCTTGGGCTTAATGTGTCAGTTAAGAGAGGCTAAAACAGGCAACTGGTTATTCCTCATGATATCTAATCCTATAAGAATTATTGCTTGCTAGGTATCCTTAGATTCATTTGGCATGGCTTGCCTTTCTGTCCAACAATTTTTGTACGAAACCGTGCCTCCATATGTTTCAGCCGGGCATCTGGTGGTCTTGTTTATTTTCCCATCAGTCTTTCTTGTCGATGGTGCCCTCATTAGGCTCCTAAACTTGTGATTGGCACGTTTAAGCTCTTTTCAACGAACAGGTCCCTTCAAAAACATCTGTGCGTGATCCCTACAGGTAAAATCTTAAGCGAGGGACAAGTGTGTTGTGTGATGATTACCTTTGATGGAGGAAAAAGGCTCAGTGGTCAGAGCGCGAATTTACTGACCGGAATGTCCGTGGTTGGAATTCAAATGGCGACTACATGAGATTTCAAAATGAATTAATTGAATTTCGGACTAATTATATTCTCCAACGGAATGGGCTACCCAAACGCGACCCCATGAATTTCATCATTGAAAGGTCGAAACGATTCTCCCGTTGGCAGTACGTGAATTTGCAAATGGGTGCTAAACTCTGTGTCGAATTTTGGTGTTAAAGTACGAGAAGAAACTATGACGCTTTGAGAATTCACCTGCCCAATGGGTAGGTTGTCAGGTCTTACGAATCTTACACGTAGTATCGTGCAATGAAAAGTTGATTTCAGCTGTGAAATAATCCTGTCTTCGTTTTAGTCATGCCCGGTTAATCACAGAAGGTGTAGTTAAACGTCGGTCCCACTGTCGTGCACATCGTCATCAGAGACTGTAACACAGAACACCATTCACAGACTAACATTGTATTGTAACTCCATTGTGTGTACCTGCTGCTTTATATCTACCAGCTTGTTATTGAAAAAATAAAATTGTTCAGCTGTGTTGTTAATAATTGTTGATAATAATAACAACTGTTAGTAATTACTAAATAATCGTTCAGGTGTAAGACCTTTTCGGTGCCTAGCTGCCATGCCACCTGAAGGAAGCACGAGTTACCCAAGCCTAGACAGGAGAAATCAAGATGCAATGGTTGGGTTCGCACCACGGACCTTCTGGTCAGTAAATTCGCGCTCTATTCACTGATGAGGGATGGACTGCTGCGACAATCAGAGTAAAAACGGAAATGACTGAGGACCCAGAAGATAGGCCTTATTCATCCAAAACGTTGGCATTGGGAGCTAAAACGAGAAAAGTTGATATAACAATGAACGATGAAACGCTTTGAGAAAACAGAGCCAGTATACATCAACGGGTAAGGATGAATCACGTAATACCTATATCAGGGTCTGGCTGATAGTGTCTTTGGATATTTCGTAACACAATAGACGGACCGTGTGTTTGCTAGTGGCGCTCCTATGTGTACTGGGAATAAGACCATACTGACGTTCTGCCACACAGTTTGGTGTGCGCTTCACACCTGCAAAATGTAAAGTGTTGTTATAAGACGGTGGGATCAAACCCAAACCTCGTGCTTGCAGATGAGCCAATCGACGTGGCAGATAAATTTGTTCACTCAGGTATTTGCATAAGTTCCGATGTTCTAGCTGAGGACGAGATTACATCTTGAATCTAGGAGGCCAGGACAGCTTTTGGCAACCTCCGACACTCACGGCGCCGACGTGACGTCCATTTGTCTGTCAGTGGTAGGGTGTGCGGCTGTGCGACCTATACCGCTTTATTAGTCAGAAAAGTGGTCTCTAGGCGCACAAGACCTGTGAAATCTATCAGGTTTCGGCTATCGGTATCTCTGAAGCCGGGTATGGTGGTAACACTGTTGCTCGTTGTTACTTCCCCAGCTCCACTTCAATACTTCACAAACACTAGATTACTGCCAGCATGACGGACCAACTTGTAAGATCCCTGTGTAGTTTGCCCTTCCAAAAAGCTAAATAGGCTCGGTGGTTTAGCTGAGATGCTGCTGCGATGTACAATGATCGGTCATCAGGGGGACTTTTACGGTTACCAAAGGAGCCCAAGCGCCCAAAGTTTCAGCTAATGCCTCTTTACTTCAGTGGTTAATGGAACTTCGATGCGGTTGGACCACAGCCCACTGGTATGCTCGGTAAACTGACGGTGTGCGCTATCACTGTTAGTATTTTCAAGCGGTTTTTCATGAGCACCAATCAACTTGCCGTCTGCAGGATTTCATCATATCTTTCCGTACTCTACTTTCGCGCATCTCGTTAGTCACCTGTAAAAGGAATCAAATCATGCCGAAACTTCACACTTGGGGAAGGATTTTTGTTAATGATACACATCATGGTTCACATTATGTCGCCTATCTGACGGTTGAAGAGTTCTGAGTCGATAAAAAAATGAATGCGCCCATCGTTAGACGAGCGGTCCTATTTTCTATTACTAGTCTCTGTGCGGGAGCTTATCTGGTTACTATAGAACTAACCTGCTCGAAGCAAGACGATAAGAAGAATTTCAAGATCGGTTTCATTTGACAATGGGTGCTTCACAACAGGATGGCTGAAGCTCAACCTTTTTGGAAGATTAGTATAATGACGTATCCGTTATTTATGGTGCCTCATTAATGAGGGCTTATAGTTTTTGAGAAGTTAAAAATTCCATGTCAATATTTTTCTAATCTTAACGGCGTCACTTACTGAAAAGTGCGAAAAATGTCTTCTGGATTTGTCGTTAAGTTGTAGTAGAATTGGTTTTCTGGACAAACGTCAACCTTATTATTCTACCTCTGGGTCATCTACAAATAATCACAAGTTGGTGGGGTTGCTTGGGCCTGTCGACAAGATGTTACAATCGTTCGGGTAAAAAAGACGCTCTTTTAATATAAATAGATTTATAGATAATCCAGGAAATTATACCAAGATGAGCTTGCCAGAAAAGCGGGTCAAGACGTTTTTTGAGATGTATACAAAAACTGATGCTCATGGGATATTTGGTCAACAGATTTCCATAACATTCTTTTGTCGATTCCAAAAGAGTTGACAGTGGATTTGCTAATCTCAGTGCAATTCGAAGTGGAGTAGTTTCAATAGAGACGCCATATTTGATGTAGGTCGGAAGGCGGAGGAGTACTGCGCAGCTGTTTCACCTTTATCACGAATCATCTAGGGAAATTCAAAACCGCGACCTCTGAACTACTAGACTTTTGGTGACCTTCCATTTATGCAGCACCATCTTCCAGAGCATTTTTTTATTATTACATGTTCATAACTCATTTGTTCACAAAATCCGTTGTTCGGATCGACTCCTTGTTCCAACACTATGTGAGCTTTCGAAAACTTTGTAGGCTTATACGTGTTTTTTGCGCTCTTTTATCATTAAGTTTGTCGCTTGGGTTTCTCCCGCCAGGAGTTATAAAGCGATAATCTCGCCATCATCACCGTAGTTTCCAACGAATTATTATTACTATTAGTATTATTAGTTAGCAAACTTCCCAGTATCCTTCATCCAAATAATTATCGCATTCTACTCTCCGCGGTAGATCGCTTCAGTATCCTGTTTTGTACACTGCCGTTCAGGCACCCCCGTTGTACGTTCAGTTGTGTGAGACGCGAGTCCTTTCGATCCTTTTACTATCTCCCTAGTTTTAGAGCTTTAAACACCATCTCTTTAGATCATGTTTTGTCCATCTTGAGTTATGGTTATCCGAACTTGCTTATATTCCTACAGGCGCACCAGACCCAACCGCTGGCGCCAGTGTTGAAGATGTGGCTGCCTGGTATTTGGATGAGGCTGGCGTACGTGAGCAACTTCGTACTGAATTGGCCAACCTTGTCAATGCTGGTGGGGCCCCCTCTTCCGGACTTTCTTCGATCAACAGCTTTGCGAACTCGGTTTCTGCTAACACGCGCTCCAGTGGCGGGCGTTCTACGCCGCTCGTCATGGCCGGCAACGCACCTGGAGTGGTCGGCCCCAATGGTTCCGGCGGAGTTGTTGCAGGCAACCACGTCTCAGAATCCGACTCTTCGGAACAATATGCTTCTGTAACCTCAACGAACCGCGAGCCGAACACGTCTGAGGTCAACTCATCTAGTGGGTTCTTGGTTGTTGGTTGATGAGGCTTAGGATATAATGCAGCCATCAGTCTTGACGTGATAAACGTTTCTGAATGGTTTACGTCATTTTTGATGTTTTCTCTGTTTTCGCAACACAGTTTGCAAAAATTTTGGTTTCCTCACCTTGACGACATTTTATTTGAAAACAGCCGCTGCAACCGTTGACATTAGTCATTTTTGTGTCAGCGTTTCAAGCATGCAGACAAACCCGAAATCCTTCGCTTATTTGATATGCTCAGTTATGGCACTTGGCAATAGTTCAGACCAGCGGTTTTCAACAGGGCAATATCATCCTTACTTAAGAGACTTCACAGGGCGATTGAGTCAGATAGTACCCAATAAAGCAGTAGCGAACAGCGAAGCAGTGTGTGCACCCTACTGGAAATTAATCCTACTTCGTGTCGTGGTATCACCAGATTACCAGAAGTTTGCACTGCAAGAAACTGAACAAATCCAAGGTGTCGTTCCCTTAGTCCTATGTACAGAATGGAATTCAAGTTGAAAAATGTATTCCTGATTTTTGAATTGTTCTTGTCTCTTCGCTAGTGATAGTGGGACTCGTAGTGCCATTCAGTTCGTCGCCTGCAAAGCATCACTATAGCCCAACAATATCCAACTGAGTTTATTCAAAAGATCCCAAAATTCAATGACGATGCCAATACTGTTGGTTTGGATGAAGACTGAAAAAATGTCAAACAGGTCATGCTCGCAGCATTTGAAACCGTCTGCAAGAAATCGCTTGCGCACTCTAATGAACGTTACTGGAGGCTGATACGGCTGCACGATCTGGGGTCAGAATCCGCTTCTCCCTGTTGCTGCTTAAGTAGACGTTTCTCATCAAGAAGAGCTGTCTGAGATTTCTCCCCCAAGTGGACGATATTCAGCTCTGAAAAGGCAACCAAATATCGGCTTTCAACCAAACACTGTAAACCAGGACTAATGTTGCGATTTCCGTCAATCTATAATGTCAAATCTACTGACAAAGCAAAGAGATCTTTCGGATAAATGTGATGCAGAATAATCTCCAATTTAGCCTTACTCATTTGAATCCCAACATTAAGAAGGAGTGCAACTGGACCCGAGGCACCATAGTGCTGTTGCATATAGAGTGGAAGTTGTGTGACCGGAACCCGTCTTCTGGTTGTCTTATGTTTGATTGAGTTGTGTTATTGAGAACACAAGTCGTCCACAAGGAGCTTACGCCAATTTTTTTATAAGTGTGGTCGTAAGTAATGATCGTTCCAAAACGCAGTTTTATCACTTCCTGTTAATCCATTTTCGCCGAGAAGGGGACAGTGAAGCAACAAGAGCTGTAACCCCTGGTTTGTGCTGTTTTCTTTCGCTTCATGTTGTCAGGATTCATCAGGCTAAATGCGCAAACTACGACCGGATTCGTTTGGGTGGCAAGTATATTAGCGGATCTATAGTGTCTTAAATTAGCTGTACGAGATCCGGGTAGAAGATTAATTGTTCCTAATAGCTGTGATGAACTGACTGGTCCAAATTTATTCTGTTGCTGTGTCCTTTCTGTGAGTGTTCGCTGCATAAAGTTTAATTCACCCTTTTTTGTTTGTCGCTTTCCAAGTTGATCATCCCCCAATCAACGAAGTCGGGTTGCACTGGCTGCTGCGCTACCGTCGTTTTCTGTTCAGCCAGAATCTGTTTAGCCCAACTCAACAAGCGAATGGGAATCACAGTCCCTGTCCTTTCTCTAGCCTCGATGCGACCTCACACAGTGTTAACAACTTCGTTCTGTCGTCCACCGAAACTGGCGCGGAGTGGTTTTCAGTTCAACCTAATTCTATTCTCGGTTCGATCAGCGGTCCAGATTCGACCCATAGTTGTAGCGCTTCACATGGTGGTGCTGGATCGCAAATTACAGCAATGTTTGCCAAGGTGCGTGAACTTCTGGCGAAGCGAGACTCCAATGGACCAAGGCTGTTGAGCTTAATCACCGAAGAGTTGCTGCGATGTCCGAAGTTGCCAGTAAGCTCTTCTGATGTGACTATGTAGTTGGTTATTGCTCATCCAGTTTGCCATACAACCAGCGCTTATTTGTCTTCTGGTAAAAAATTTTCAGCAAACAATGTGCATAGTTCTCCAATGTCGATGCGATACAAACCATTATTTATCCGTTTTCAAGCACGGCAAGAAACGAGGCGTGGTCTTCCTGGATCAAAGCTATCATTCTGGCTTTTGCTTGCTTTTAGACTTTCATAATGCATTTAGTTGAGATACACGCTATTTTTTCTGTATAATTTTTAAACACCATTGGACGGGACTGTCCATTATATATATTGTTTAGCCGTCTCGTAATAGCTGGCAAGGTAACCATTCTTCTTTGAACTATCTTTTGTAATCGTTTTGCTAGATAATTGTCCACATTGCAGTTACGCTTGTTTCTTTGGATTTACTCAGCTCCCATCGTAAACTTTGACCACTTAGTTTCATAGAAATTTTGATTATTTATGTCTTCCAGTTGCTAAAGGCGCGACGCAGCCATCGTGGGATCGTAGAGTTGTCCACACGAATCCATACTCCTGGTCTGGCTAGATCTGCCTCTGCCCATCAGTTGTCAAGTCCAACTATGCCCTCAGAGCCCTCTGCCAATTCCACTTCGACAGTGCCAAGTTCCATTCAGCTGCCTGGCTCAACAACGCGCCTGTGGGATGAAGTTTGCGTGCTCTGGACCTGTGTGGTGCTCAATCCAGATTGCAGTCCAGAAGCTCGCCGTAATTGGCGAAATAGATTTCTCTCATGGAGTCGAGCTCACCGTTGTCCTCGTGATGAAGCTTATGCGGTTCCCGACCACTTTTTTCCTCAGTTACGTGATTCCAGTGAAATAGAGGAGGATGGCGCATCCCAGCCGGTGCAGTCTTCACTTGGCGGCCATTCACAGCAATCTAACAATCGTTCCAGCCGACGCGTGTCCGTATTTCAGCTTCCCTTAGAAGTCAGCTTTATGTCTTGGGACGATGACTGGTTACGCCATCTACTTGGCCTTGATCTTAATAAGCGTATCAAGGGAAAGACAGGAGCTGCGTTCAGCGACTACGATAGCTATGAGAATACGAGCAACAGTTCAATTGATTTAGATGATAGTTCCTCTGAAACGTTTCGCCGCCCTTCTGTTGGCACCCCCAGAAGAAACTCAACCTCCGGTCGGCCCCTCTCAAACAGCTCACCCTCCGCCACTCCGCGTGATTGTCATTGCCCTTATTGTGATCTGAACGTACCGCTAGGAGAGCCATTTCCTCTTCTATGTCTCCGTGTTGCAGCCCTCCGTTCGAATGGCTACATCGCACAAGCCATTCGTTTGGCAGTATTTATTAGCCAGCGTCTGCTACGTTCTTTCAAATTCTCAGTTTCCCACGCCTCCAGTACCGGTACCACACGAAACTTACAACAACCACAACAGTTGGTTCACCCTTACCCACCGCCCTACTATACTCCACCACCGCACCATTTAGTAACCGATCCGATGCCGCGGCGTCCAACATTTACTGCAAACAGTTCCGGCTTGCGGTCCTGTGGTCCAGGCTCATTGCACGGACCAAATCGGTTTGCGCCTCCTGGTAGGTATTCTGATCTCTTCTTCCCTAATCTACTGTCATCCGAGCGCATCTACGAACTCTGAACAACTTGAGCCAACCGGCATAATTATACAATATATCTCATAGGATTAGCGTGCTTACCTGAGGGAAACAGCTGCTGGCTCATTATTGTCAGCATGTGTTACACTGTGAAACACCATGCAGTTCAATTCAGTTCACCGCTGCATGCTCAACCACACCTTTTGAGGTAATGCAACTACATTTAAAATTAATTAATAGTAGATCCGCTCATCATGGTAACTTGAATTATTTTCTCCTTACCCTTAAACCATAAACCTTCTGGTTTATGCAGGCACGCGACTTTGAATGTGCATTTCAATACTAAAGCATCCCACAACGCCGCAGATGGTGACCAAATCAGGTTTCTAATTCAATAGGTCCATGTCGTACGAACGTAGTGTGGCAACCACCGATGCCCTCATTCGAATACATTCTTACTTACTGGTCTGGGGGTACCGCGGTGTATGGTTGCCTACCCTTTCTTTGAATTGCTGATGAGTTCTGTAGTGCGGGTCAGAATTTTTGTTAGGGAACTGTTTCTCTCATGTCTATGGTCACATGACTCGCCATTGGTTTCAAGCATAAATTAACGACTTGTTTTACCTGCGGAATTTCAATATGCGAATGGCGGTGTGTTGTAGTGCTATTAGCCACAGCTGTATGTGCTATGGCTTTTTATCGGGGTATTGACTATGATAAGCTCCATTGCTCTACTGAAAATCCTATCGGTCATGGCGTGGCGTGCCAGTCAGTCGGTCACCAACTGTGAATCGTTCGGTATTTACTTCAGCTTCGTTTACCGGGATCAGGGAGAAGAATGATATTTTGTTTAACCGAAACATTGCTCATCAAGTTGCTAAAATCTCTTCGGTAGCCCACGACCGGTTTTGCCCTTCGTAGTGCTCATCAGATAGACGCAGTCCCCAAATTTCCATCAGCTTTACTTGAATCCAAATGAGACATATTTCTATGAATATTCATTTGCACACGAATTTGATTTTGACAGGATACTCAACTGAATCTCTCGTGATGCTTCGAGGATTGCACCGACCGGATGGATCCCAAGAAAGGCTAAACTGGTTGCGGTCTGTCCAAGTGTTTTCAGCAGCCTCATGTGTAGTGTGTTACGTCTAGATGACAATGTATTGCGATATCTCGAATATCGTACCAAATGAAACACGTAGCCTCCTGATGCAGCACATTCATGTGGGGCAGGCTGCGTTGAATTGAATCAGAGGGATGCGCTGGTAGGAGTAGTCCTACTCTGAATACAATATCATCGCTCTCCATTTTGGTGAATTGGGGGCTTGTAAATCACAAGTACTACGGCTGGGGCGGAGTGCTTACGAACTCTATCACTGCTTTCCGGATCTGCAAGTAACACCGTTTTTCCTTGTCTGCATAGAGTAACTATTCGGGAATCTTCAATCCGGATACAACCTATACGCTAGGAGTTCGAGAAAAAGCCCACTTTGCGGGCGATGCGAAGGGCGACCACATTCTTTTTGGATAAATATCACAGAGGAGGACAAAACAGGCGTCATTAAGCCGGTGCGCCAGCCGTGGAGCGGTCTTATCTGAATCCATATTAGTAACATCAAGAGGGAGTCGCCTACAATGTCGCTTGAATATTCCACCTAAACCATTGGACTAATGCTGTCAAAACACATTAGAAAAGGGGAGAGTTGGTTCAGGGAGAGAAATCAAAAGGGAAAAACTTGTGGGAAATGTAGCTGGGAGCGATAATTGACAGAGGTAGTTACAGCATAATCTGGGAGTTTCTCAGGATACCAAAGTTTTGATTGGGACAGCATTCATCACTATTAGGAACTCAGGTTTGAAAGTGATTTAACTCGATTAGAGAGCTTGTAATAGAAAATAACTTAGTCCTACAGTCTGCAATACATGCATAGAAAGAGTACTAGAGATACCCTTAGCGGAATACACTTATTTGTAAACAAATTTGGTTTTGCGAGAGACTCACCTGAAACCCAGCTGAATCTCTCGTTTGTAATGTTTCCATCCAACTGAATGTGCTGCACCAGGCCGCCTCATGTTTCAGTCGCTACGATATTCGAGATGTCGCGATACATGTATAGACGTAATACACTGATCATAAGGTTGCTGAAAATTCCTCGACAGCCCACCACCGGTTTCGCCCTCTTGGGGGCTCATCAGGTAGGCGCAAATCCCCAGATTCCGCCAACCTTATGTTCTACTTGAAAACAAAATGCACAAAATTGGTGAAATGCACGCATTTTCAAACAAATTTGGTTTTGCGAGAGACTCACCTGGAACCTAGCTGAATTTCTCGTTTATAATGAGATACCCTTACCGTGAACGTTGAGGTTGCCGAAAATGTAAACCTCCGAAGTGGCGTCGGATTGAAATATCTGTTCGAACTTGAGGGAAGTGACAGATCACTGCCGCTCGACATTAAAAAAAAGCGGAATATGCTGAACTTACGCTGAATCTCAAATGTGGAATTGTCTAGGGAATAGATTTGTGAAATAGAGAGGTTGTGTGTAGTCAGATACACTACCAATCAAACCGGAATAATGAGGAAATGATTGAAAATTGTATCTGAGTCAGGTTACCTGAACCGTAGGCTTCTGCAGCTTAATCCGTGATGTTTACGCCATCGCATGACAGACCAGAAGGACGTATCCTTGTAATTTAGTTAGCGAGAGGCCGGCATCCCAACTCGGTCAGTTCAGTTCACCCGGTTAACTACAAACCATGTACCAGAGGTGCATTGGTTGCATCTGCTGCTGCTGTTATAGTCACTGGAAAATGGGAGAACAGGGGTAATTTAGTCGTGCATCAGAAGCGATAACTTTGATGTGGGCTCACCACTGATCACGTGATTGAGTCATATGGTGAGTTGAACCCCGGATCCTCATCCAGGGAGGCGACAGCTGTCGGCCGGACTCAGTTTACTGGTTAGTATTTTCCTACTTCGTTGCCAGGTCCACATCCCGGTCGCTTCCGCTCAGCACAGGGTTGTGCGAACAGAGTTGCACGAGGCAGGTGCTCTTCTGGAATGCGAAGTACATGTCCTAACCAGCTTAACCCATGAAGCGTGGATAACTCATCAACCATGGGAGAGTTCCTTTCTCCTAAAACCATTCGACCTACCTCAGCATTGCTAATCCTATGTTCCCACCAGACTCGCCCCGTGCTTCGGAGGCGCCGATAGCTGAACCATTCGACCTCCCCAAGCATTCTAATCCTATGTTCCCACCAGACTCGCCCCGTGCTTCGGAGGCGCCGATAGCTGAACCCTGGCAGCTTTCATACGTGCTTTGCACATTGAGGCGACTTTTTTCATTCTTAGGGCAGTATGGATCGCGTGTTCACTGGCCTTGATAGGCAGACTGACGTCACGGTTGCAATAACTCCCCTGGTCTTCCCAATTCGAGAAGTAATCTCATCTCCAGCTTGTCCACTGGAACTTATACAACTGCCCAGGCAAACAAAGTCGTCTACTACGTCGATTGACTGGTCTGCAAGCGTGAGGTTTGGGTTTGATCTTACCTTATCTTGCAATATCATTTCTCACTTCACAAGTGTGAAACGCAGCAGTAGGTATCTTCTTATTGTGCGTTCGGACTTTATCTTGGGTAATATATTTATACTTTGTGATGAATGCTATAATTCGGTGTAAGTTCCGCAAGCTTCCGTGAGGTTACTTATAAGACCGCATCGTGTCTAGGTCCGATTCTGAAGTCGGCATTCGCTAATGGCTTACCCGGCTTACCTAGCTATGCTACGCCTTTTTTGGTTAGATCAAACGTTGTCTTTCATCATATCACATATTTGTTTGTTCCATCGATACTGTGCTGTTCGAGCGCTATTTTCTTTAGGGTCATACTTGCTTCTCTTCCCTTTTTGTTACAGTTAAAGCTTTGTCTCCATCACCAATGTCAGCGCACCCAAAATATCCTTCTGGTCGTCTTCCCTCTCCGAGACCATCTTCCGTTTCACCACCGATATCCAGCTCACTTACCGGTAGGCCAGTGTCTAGAAGACATGTCATGTCGCCAGGCATGAATCTCACACCAGGGCCATCAGGTTGCTCTAATCAGTTTAACTGGTCTGGGCACAATTCCTGTTCTTCTTTACCACCCTCCATGTATAAGGTTCAACCTCCCCCGCCGTATGGCGCCCACTCCCAGTCGTTCGTGCATCAGCCCATTTGTCACTCAAATGCCAGCCCAAACACTCCTTTCAATCATTTCTCATCCAAGCACCCTGGTCATCCCCACTCATTTCGATCGCCACCCATCAATCCGCACTCATCTTACGGGTCCGGACCCATGTATCCACCAGGACGGTCTTTGACCTCACCCAAACTCTCAGGACGCACGTCTTCTTCCCATCCATCTCGAACTTCCACATCCCCTTGTGGTTCTCCCAACAGTGACAATCAAGCAGACTATTTTGTATTACTTTCTGGAACCAGTTCAACCGCTTGTTTAAGTCACACAGAGTCTGGATGGATCGGCCTACCCGGGAGACCAGTGCTTTGTTTAATCGAATGCCTACTAGACGCAGCCGCAATGGCTGTCGAAATCAATCACTGCACCGCAGCAAATACTCGGCCCTGGGTCCAGCTGGAGTCTGCTTCGTTCTACTTATGCCTTTCGATTAAGGTAAGCCGTGTCCATCCTGAAAATACTTTCAGGCCCACCATTTGCCACTACTCTCGTTTGGCACTTGATGTGTCTTTTATATTTCAAGCCACCCTTACAACTAAATTGCTTGTTTTACCACCCTTCACTGCTTGTTTCTTAGAGTTTCTAGTTTATAAACTTTTCATTTGTGTCTGTCTAAAATACCGATAAGCTCTGTTTACTCGGTTAGGTGATTGTATCTTGACTTACCTAGGTTTTATCACCTTATTCTATGCAAGTTCAGATTTCGTAGAGGACACTTCCTTGTCCCCAGCATCTCACTCACCAGTAGCTATGCGTCAATAGACTAACGGATTTTCCACCGCGTTATTTTCCGAACATGATGGCCGTTTGACGCAACACAAACAAGTGTGTTTGGGTGATGAAAATCTCACCGTTTCACCTCAGACCACTCACAAATTTCCGACTTATTTGTCGTCGGCTCCAAACAGACTGAATACACAGACTGTAATTGCCGTCATATGTTGTTGCATAAATATTGTGGATCACAAACACTACAGGAACGCAGTCTTTTCGTATTGTCCCTTATTCATTCACTGCGTGTGTGTGGCATGTTTGGTCGCAATACACAAGCACAAGCAACCGAACAAGTGGTGGCTAAGTCACATTATATGAATTTTGTTCTTCGTGTCTAGTTTTCTGCACCCACACTGGCTAACATTTCAGGAGTATTAATATCGTTTCAAGACCCCTACCTGTTTTCTTCCATTGCATCATGTCTGTTCATATTAAGTTGTCCTGGTCTCGATAATACTCTTGGGATGGCTTGACAGCACACCTAAAGTGTCTGTAGAAATATAAAGATGACTGGATGTCAATGGGTTGAAATTCTGGACCGAAATCCGAGATGTACACACCTAAGGATATCATTAGATTGTCATCAACTCACTTCTGGAACTCAGTCATGATGTGGCGCTCCATTTACGGATTTGCGATCCATCAAAATGTCTTCTCCCCAAATGGAATGTCGGCACCTACCTACTAAGCTACATCACCTTTCCTATTCCGGTTTGTCTGGTCGCGTTAAGCGGGTGATAGAGTGTTGCATTTCTCCTGTGCTACTTACACTCTTGGGGCTTCTTTTCCAAGGGTAGTGGTTTCTGACCTTTCTCAGATCTGCAACTCAAGCCATGATCCATGCATTACATCTCACCTAACCATCGTGCGCAGGTCACAAGCATCGATCTTTTTGTATAACTCACTTATCTCAGTAGCAGGTTGTTCAAGTAGATCAAAAGCCAACTGTGCTGAAGGGTCGGGAAGCACCTGAGTTCTAGTTTAAGGTTTTTCAACTGTGTGTCGCAGCATTTTGATGTGGCTGCATGCACCGTATGAGAAGATAGCGGGGGTAAAAAACGTTCCTGAAATGATCTTGCAGTTGAACGAAAAATGTCCAGGAGCGGATGACTGCAAAGAATTGGTCGAATCGATCAACTCCATTGTAAATGATACATTGTGCTGCTGAGTACAAGACCGTTTTGTTGTGAACAAATGATCATCCCAGCGGAGTTCAGTGTCCAACCCACAAAGTTAATGGTTCGACATCCAGTTGCGACCCATAAGATTCGCGTTGCTGGTGACTCTACATTTTGGCCTACTCTGTATAATGAAGCTGAAACTTATGTTTTTTTAAGATATCTCGTTAGGATCTAAGTATCCTAATGGGAAGCGAATATTATTTAAATTGTGCGCGAAGCTTGAAGATAGGTATCATCCTAACTTTAGGTGGAACCATCTTCTGAATCGGCGTATTTTAGTACGTGAATAGTCAAGTCATTTAGTCATTTGCGGGCTTATAAGATTCTAGAATAGGTGTATCATCAAGTCACATGTGCGCATGACTATCTAAATTAGAAGAATTTTCGCCGGCTTTCTTGGTCGGGTGCTTTTGTATTCCAAATAGGCCCTTTGGTTTTGTCCTCATGGATGGAATACATAGCCAAGGTAGTAACGTGGCTTATTAATGTTATTTGTCCGCATGCTTTTCCCACTGTTCGTCTCAGTGTTAGGCGTGTTCGCTACCATCTAACAATTGACTTTTTGCGTTGGTGCTACCGCAGTGAGTCTAGTTAGACGCCCCATCAGAGGCATGCTATTTGTTAAACTTATGCGGTCTTCGCACGAGGAGGTTGGACGACTGCAGTGTTGACATTACCCCACGCGGTGTCTGCCATATTGTATCTGCATACCTAATAGGTCTGTTTGTAATGTTAAGTTTGCCCTCAACAGGACATCTGTTGTAGATCATCCCTTCGTCTGTCTTGTTTGTCGAGCCCAGATAACGTGATAGTAATGCTACGGACAATCGGTATATTGCTGTTTACTTTTCGGCATATGGTATGTCAACAAAAACAGGTGTTGTTCTCATTCTCTCCCCCTTGTTGTTAATATTACCGCGACTGCCGCTGATACCACGGTGTGTACACAGCATCCACAGTTGTGCTTTGGATCACCTCACGCTTGTCCACAACACATTTGCTGTTGTTACGAGTCAGTCGTTATATCGTTGGTACACTACACTTTTTGTGTTTGATGCTGTTCTTTGGCCTGAAATTGGTGCATTTGGTGGTACTTGTAAAGATGTTAACTGGTCCGATTCAGACAGTAGTAGTAAGCTGTTCTGTTGTATGTTAGGTGCCCTGAATGCTCTCGATTCCTCCGAGCTCATTGTAGCCTAAGTGACTTGTTTGTTTGCTAATTTGCCGCATCATTCTGTAAGCAGCACTTTTTTGTTTAGAGAATGATGGCGCGTATCCATCTTTTGCGCCGTTTGCTCACTTCTTCTTGGGAAAGGTGCATACCGAATTCGCATAGACGGTGGATCACCAGCAAATTCTACATCTTATTCTGTTTACCAGTTTTGTCACCCAACTTCATTGGATCGCCATGTTCGGATGTTGTTCAAAAAAGCATCTTTTTCATGAACTTTGGTGACAGTCTGCCATCCTTTACCCAAGTCATTTTGTGGCGTTCTTCAGGAATGTGAGTAGAACCCATGGCTCCCCCGATTGACTGCTACCCATTGTCAGCGATCCGTAACTAGGTCAGAGTCAATCTTTACTCAATTTTAGTTCCATTTTTTGGTTCCTCACGAAACATAAAGACCTAGAAGTTCAGTCTCTATCCTTACTCTTAATTTCGTGGCCCTGCACTGCAAGATCTTCATTCTGAGAAGGACAGCGGTGGCTGACGACCTAGACAGTTCGAAATTTCGGCACACCGTCATAATCTGTGCCGCCAAATCGACAAGGGAACACATAATAACTTAACAACGTTTTATGACTACCAGTAGGTAGTTTTTCACTGCAATGTACTTTCATTATTCGTCAGTACAATCTGATGATCGTTAGTTCGGAGGTGCTACTTCTCATTGGCGTATCCAAGTAAAGGCCGAGTAGTCACACTGTTCGCACAGCGCCGTCTAAACATTTCTGACGGATGCCATATCCTCACTTCAGGGTCTGTATTTGTTGTGGCGCTTCGCCGTCTGGAAGGATGAGATAGCTCAGGTGCTGGAAGATCCCCTGCTGAGCCCTAACATCCTTTGACTGGGTTTTTCCCCACTCTCTGAACCTAGTGTCTTCACAAGTGGCAGTAGTTTTTTGTTACACAAGGATTTGAAACCTCATAAGACTGCTTCTGAGGACGAAAATTTGAAGCAAGGATGCAACCAAATAAAGCGTTTGGTTTTTATTAGCAATTCTTCCAAAGAAAGAAGACCTTTAAATGTAGAATTCCAATAGTTTGGCTGTCCTGGAAAAGAACAAGGAGTCCAATAGCAGGAGTAGCCATTTACAAGCAACGACTGCTTTCGCAAAGACCAATGAAACGATAAAAATAACAGGAAATGGAGCAGCACTGGCAGCTTTACAAAACACTAATGGTAAGAGTAGTGGTGGAAAAATCGGAAAGACTGGGTATCGATGGTGTGCAAGAGACTGTTGGCCGTCAGTCAGTGGAGAGATCTCAGTCCAATAGGTCAAGTCGAGATGGAGAAGCGTCACGCCAGACATGCGAACAGTACCCTGGCCTTGGACGAATCTAGGCTGTGAAAGGTAAAATAGCTTTTGGGAATAGAAATGGATACAACTATTTCGGAAGATTCCGAGGTCGTGGGTTTTTTTGGTCGAATGAGGATGACGGGCACTTTTGGAGAGAAAAAGGAATCCTGACGTCCACTGAGATAACCACCGGAAGTTGGCTATCATGGAGAAATATGAGTAGAGCTAATTTTACTTGCTGACCTTTTTGAATATGTCAGCGTTAAGCCTAGCAGTCTTGGGATTGTTGGCTACTTATTATTCTTCATGAGAAGTAGGGAAGTGAGCGATTCAGGTGGAGTCACTGACAAACGCCAATAATGAAGAGTAAGAAGAAAGACAGATCCTTATCATAGGCAGAATAGAGTCAAGAAAATTACGCGACATTTACCCACATGAACATTCAGGGATTTAGATAATGTTCAGCATCCGTGTACCAGTCTACCTATCATACTGAACACACCCAGGAGAACCGCTTTTTATTCACCAAGAATCCGTTTTTGATGACCAACAGATCACCGATTACTCTGTTTTCGTGGCATCTATGCTGGTGACCATTTAGGCGTTCACACCATTCAAAGTCTAACAGTGATGACAGATCCACATCACACATCCGAAAAGTCCCCCTATCCTGGTGCACTCATTCTGCTGAGTTTCTACCAAACGGGAAAGCAGTGGACTCGAGTGTTGATTGAGCACGTCAACGCTACCGGGATTTGCATGCGTGTAACCACTACTCCACCACTGCGCGCAAGACGCACCTGAATTATCACGTCCGAACAGGCTACTCATTGTGTTCGCGCTTGAGCGGTGTGATTGGCTTGTCCAGCGCCTCGAATGACGACCCAGTATCTGTCCTGCTTGTGTCAATCGATTGGCCCACTTGTCAGGACATACAGTTAGTGTGGATTGGATAAATTTTAAGGCAGAGAGCGAGCGAATAGGCAAAATCTCTTACTATTATCGATTTAGGTCTGTTGTCCAACCATACATCTACCGTTTGCTTACCCAATCTTTCTTGAATGACGACTTCTCAATCGGTTCCAGACTTCTTCCAGTTGCAATGAAAATCTTTCCGTCGTGGCTCCCTTTCGGTACGTAGCTACCATGCAACCGGAAGGAGGCATAATAACTAAGATACTGTTAGGTTGCCCAAACATAGGAGCAATCGATAAACCAAGGTTGAATTGGAACCGCCTAATCCATAGCTCTCAGCCTCAGTCATTGGACCGTCTCCTAGTTCACTCACTCTCTCTTGACACGCAACTGATTCCCATGAATCCGAATGGACTGAACCAACTTGCTGGGTATGGGTAGGTCCTCCACTCCTCGCCCGATTAAACTGCCAGGACATCCATTTCGTGTGCTTTGATGAAAAACTTTTGTAATGGATCACTTTCCAATCCGTTGATTAGCACGCCTTGTATAATCGACTCTGCCATGAGAATCGATGTGGCGATGCATCCTGCCTTTTACTTCGCTTTAAATCACCCATGACGCCATACCTCAGTGGAGGCTCCTTCATATGCAAATTAAGGGTTTAAGTAAGCGCACTCGTCATCGCCACTGGTCATTTGTTAGTTTCTGGAAAATAACACTGGTCAAGTATGAGGGCACCCTGTTGAGCGACGGGACGTAAGTGCTGCGCGCTTTTTATCCTATTGATCTACCGACTGACGTCTGGTTTCATCCCATTAAGCCTCCATTATGTTTCTTCAATTGCCGAATTATACTGAGTTAGACATCTCAAGTTTCGACCATGATTAATCGGAGCCCTAAAACCTGTTATGTGTTAACGGTTGCTTTTCGATTGATTTAAATCGACCCTATCTTTATGGGTGCTTGCAACAGTAGTCGAATTTCCCCTTATATTTCATTCTACTCAACCTCAGGGGTGTGGAACATTATGACAATCACCAGGAAAACTTGGTTGCGTTATTTGTGTTCCGGCATTCCGTTGGTTATAATCATTGATAATCATTTTGCTAATATTGGAAAAGTGCTTTAGTGTTCTATGGCTGCCTCGTGACCAACAACCGGTCAGTTAGGTCGATATTTTATCTCATTAACTTCAGTAGTCTGTTGGCTGCTTAACTGCGGCGATCAATCAGCACAACTAGCAATTCAGACCACATCTGACCTTTTTCAGATATCTACTCTGCAATATTTGCTGAACGTCGATCACTGGCCACCGCTGCACTGCTATTTCTTACAGCCGTTTACCTTAAATAACACACGTATCGTCATCGGTTAGGTGATCGTTTCCCATTTTCCGCGATACCGTGTATTGACCGGATGCTAACAATCAAATCAGAGGGATAGGTTGAACTGTCAACAGTTCTCAGAACTCACATCAGCGGAGCTGTAGATATCACCTGTTTTGTTTAGTTATGCTCCTTATCCTAAGGTCTCTATTCCAACCTCTGTACCAAAATAAGCTCATAGATAGCCTACGTTTTTATCCGTGGGATCTGTGTAATCCGTGAATCCAAGTCCTTATGTGTGATTCTAGATCGTTCACTCAGTTGAATGCAAGTTGGTGCGTTGCACGCGAAACTGTGACAAAGACAAATGGTTTAAATCTTTTTGTGTACAGTTGTTGGTCCGAGTAAAGAACCTCTATCAAGCTACTGCCCAAACTTGTACCCTGGTGGGTTTTTCCATAGATCTTCTCCTATTCATCCTCGACATGTTCGTTTTGGGTATTCTTTGTTAATCCGATGTGAGGTCAAATTTCTTGCTCTGAAGCACACTTGAAAGATACTACCATAGAGCACTGTTTCAATGAGTTGGCTAATATATCTGGGCAATGGTCGTTCAGATAGTTTGTAAAGTTTCACTGCTTGCCTGTTTGTCAACAGGCTTCTTGATCACTTAATTTGGACGAACTATATGAAGTCCTAGGTCCTTGTGCCTGAGATCCCAGCGTTTCGATTTTATCCCTTCAAACGCAACACTGAAGACAATCTGATTGCATTTAAATATGGAAATAGTTGTGGGAATCAATAAGGCATCTTCAATCCACTGTTATTTAGTATGTTTTCGGATACTGAAGAGACGCCGGTAGATCATATATCAACCAAAACGATAGAGTAACAGCCAGAACAAATGTGCTAACAACTGTCCTAGCTAACATCCTTGTTTTGGTGATCACAGAGACATTCAGTGAGAATATTGTTATCTTTGAACTAGGCCTTTTCTAATATCCATACCACAAAATTGGTGGCAGGAATACCCAACCGTAGAATCGGTTTGGTTTCAAGTTCAGGTAGTTCGTAGATACATCGGCTATCTGCACTCCCTAACCAAAACCATTGCTCTAATTTCCCTGTCTCTAGCGAACATAGTTGTAATCCTTAGCTTTCTTTCGCACTGGAATTTGTTAGACTGTTACCGTTGGCAACGTCTACTGTATTTCACCCGCCCAGATTAACACAAAATTTAATCAATCACTCTTTTTACGATATGGTCATCATGTTCCACTTTCGTGTCATCACGTGATGCCAGCAACCATGCTCCACGGCCTTGATATCATGAATGTCCGTTAACCATCATTGCGCCAACTTGCACTTTTCATCAGATCTTCAAAATGATGTACTGTATATAGAGACTATGCTGTCTATCCTATGTTTTTCAACACCTCTAGCCTCAGGTTCAGTGATAATGAGGACTTTCGTGACAGCAGCTACCGCACTTCCGTTCCACATGTTTTAATGTAGACTGTTTTACAGGTGTTCTGTTGCATCTATTCACGTGTGCAAACGGCACGCATCTTGCATGGATGACTCAACCTAGCGGGAAGAGGTAGAACGGGCGGACGAAGAAGTTCTCTAACGAACTTTCGGACGAAGCGAGCCACCATGTGAACCGCTGTGGGCTGTAAATGTGGTTTTTAGCCTCGTTATTGGCTAACGCTGCGTAGCTCATGTGGTATACTGTCAAATAAATCCGTAGCGAACCACGCAGATGCATGCGGCAATCGGTTTGCTTCATTGATCGACCAAAGTGTGTGAAGTGCTTCATGCAAAGTACATCAGGCGAACTCCGTGCCGCGCTTGCGGAATGTGGCTGAAATTTCAACGTTTATTTAAAAGGGCGGCCATGTGTCCTCGATTAGGTTACATTCTGTGTACTCAGTTTAACACAAGCACCACATTTTTTCTGTCTTGTATTATTCCGTCACGAAATGGTTCGAAAACAATTCTTATTCACAGGTAAGCCTACTCGCCCTGTTGCAACAAAGGCGTCTGTCCGGATCTGTCAATCGTCTACTAGCTTGTCAAGGTCAAGAAAGCAGATTGCTGGCCTTGCTCAATACCATGCCCAAAGACACCACTACATTGCTAGCAGTCTGTGAAGCACTGTCGTATCTTCTGGGTCCACCTACTCTACCGCGCCAACTGGCCAGGATGGACAATTCACCAGGTTCGCCTATTGTTTCTTGGTCTGTTCCCAACTGGTGTTGGTGGTCTGCGCTCGGTCCCGTGATCCATCCGGACTCGTACCCGGTTCATGCCGTTGCTCATTTCGTACTAGACTACATATTAGAGGCGCAGAAACAAAACCAGCTTACCCTGGTCAACAATTGCTGGGCCGGTTTTGGCAACACTGCACCATCCGTACGAATGGAGGATTTGTTGTATGCAGTGGTCACTCGTGCCATGCGGTAAGTATCCTTCCTCCGTCCCTTCGTTTTTTTTTCGCGTTATCAGTCGCTGGTCCCCTGTTCATATCAAACTATGCTCTCGTGACGGTCTGTTACATCATATGCTACTTGTTTATCGATGTTGCAAAAGATTCATTGACATCTTGCAACAATCATTTACCCAGTTTGTGACCGCCATCTGAAGTTTAAACATGTGTTCCCATGTCACATTCGATCATCCAAACCCGAATCGATTTTTCTAATAATTTACGGCGGAACTCAATGTTCCAATCAATCTATGTAGAATGGTTGCGTCAGCAGCAGTTGCTGCTATCTTTTTGATAGCTGATCATCTGATCCATATTGTTTCAGGTTTTCCGCGCTTGAGTCTGTTTCCGACAACCTTGGCTTGCCATCGACTGCCGTCAACCGCGGAAATTTTGTGACTGAGTCGACAAGTCACGTTTTAGATCATCAGTCAAGAGCCAGGACTCCGTTTCCACAACCACACTGGGACAGCAACCCACATACGTTCGATTCCACCGGTGATCTGTCATCCCTAGCCACAGGCACTCCAGGTCAGTCAGTCATTAATGAACCGCCAGCGTACACCAACCCCAATTCAGTTTCACAGTCCGACCATTCGTCCACAACGGGATTTCATTCTCACCATCCAAACACTCCACGAGCTGTACACGGTCCAGCCGACTTTGATCGTTGTCCTCTGCCTCAACCCCACTACCCTCCTCTCCCCTCTGCATTTGCCAATGCTGTCCAAGCCTGTCTTCGTCTTTCTGACTCTTGCTACTTGAATTCTTCCTCATGTGCTCCCATCCCACCAGTGGTTCCGAATCCCATCACCTCACCAATGTGTTTCACGCGAACGCAACCCACCGCTACACATAACCCCGAGCAAGTCCCAATGGTGGTTTATCAGCAGAACGGTAATCTGCGTCGCTGTCTAGAAATGCTAGAACGACAACAGACGCAGCTGGCTATCTCACTTATCCGTTTGTCCAAGTCGCACGTTCAACGGCTAGATCAAACTGTCCAGATTTGTGATCGACACATTCATTCAGCGGTCAGTCTGTTGACCATTTCACAACAGGTTAGTTTAGACACATAAGGTTTCATTTGTTTTTAACGCAAATTTCCCGTTTGTATTGTTTTGTACTCCGACTGTCAGCAAATCATATCACCAGCATGTTGATCCATGTAGCTATCAGTATTCCTACAACACTCAGAGCTGCGGCTGAATCGATACACGATCAATAAACGGTATGTTCTTGACTTGCTGTCGCCCGTTTTACAGGCCGTATGTATGGTGGAACGCATTCAATTGCAATACTTTTCTGCACCACTTCGTTTTCCGTTGCTCCTCCTGCTATCTCCAACATGTGCCTTGTAACTGTAGTTGTTAGAAGCACTACCGTGTATAGCTCCTGAGTGGTTATATTTCTGTGGTTCTTCTCATGACACAAAAATCGCATCGTTTCTCATTCCTAGAAACCCGGGTGTGTTCAAATAAGCCTATCACTCGTCTTAGCACTGACCCGTATATTTAGCTCAGTATGTCGTTTATTTTTCAGCAGTGTAGACAAATGGCCATAGAGTGACAGTTATGTGACGTACATAGGGCCGCCCTCATGTATACGTTAACTAGCGTCATTAGATATGTAGATCGTTTCAAGCATCACTAATTACTTGAGGGATTTGCATCTGAGTGTGACTAGATGCGCTCATTTAAATTCCGCACTGAAGTTTAATGCAATCAAGTGCATTGTTATGACTGATCGAGTTCGAACAATAGGAACGCCTGCTTCGACGAATACACTCGTTTGCTTATCAATGCGGTTTTCTTGGGAGACTGAATATCTCGTTTATGATGTTCAACAACCTTTTGAGTGGTTTCCTTTATGAAAAGAACACCTGTTTTTTACACTCTGACATCCTCGATGATCGATCACATTACCCCGTCTGTTTCATGGAAGCCGAACCAGATGGAGTTCTTGTTTCTGCGCAGTCTTTTTGCGTTTCTCGGTCCACCTTTCGAAACCTGATGTCATGTGATTTTCGAAATTGTTTCATCTTGGTGGAACAAAGTAAGCACGCGGTGATTTTCCGATTCGCTTTGTCACCCTAGGTGACGAAACTTTCCGGTCACTACAAGCCTAAACTAGATGGCTACGGATTTAAATACCTTGTGTGAATGCGTGTGTTCTCCGTGCTCAGGGCGAACAACGTGAATATTCTAACGTCAACGTTTTGGTTGCTCACCTGATGGAATTGCTAACCATGAGTTCCCCACATGTTCATCAACACCATTTCCAACTGTTTCCAGAAGCGATTGTCAGATGACGCCTAGACTAAATTACCCTTAATAGCACGTGTTGCTGGTCCTTTTTCTGGTATGGTCTATCCGTTTTGGCACTTATCTCTTTACTTATCTTACTATAGTGATATTTATTTCGGGGCGTCGTTAGCTCTTATTTTATTGATTTATTATATATCCCATGTGTGCTATTGCACACCTGACCAAACTGGCATCGTCTTAGATCACATAACTACCAGTATCAGAATTTGTCAGATGATGATCACCGCCCACACTCAATCGCATGCTCATATTCGAGTAACTCTTGCCGGGTGTTTGCGTGCACCTCGTCGTGTTGCGTTTGGTGAATAGCGAAGCCCGCGAGGAAGTCTAATCAAATTTCATTGCTTGAAATTCAGTTGTGTGGAATGGCTGTAGTACGTCACTCTCCGTAGCGCTTTTATCCATACAAACCAGTTAATGGATTACCGGGTGGGTCTGTCCAGTGAGTCGTTGGGTTTCATAGATGGTGGTTACGACGAGGACCATTGTTTACCACTCATCGCATAGGATTAATTATCATGTAGCATTTATGTCGGTGGGTTCACTGTTTGCGTTCATCCGTTACTCTCGGATCATCAGTACGTCCCTTGTGTGCCATGCGTTTTGGTGGCGTTAAAATCAAGTTGGGCGAACCAGTAGTTGTGCTCATTCAGCACTTTCTTACTGCACTGTCCTCCAGATAACTAGCGAAATGCGTTTCATACCTGAAGGCTCTTTTTGAGACCTCTGTTCGTTTATCCACTCGGCAAACCGCCGAAAGATCTGGATTTAGGTTGGTCCTTCAGTATTGTTCTTAAACTACAGCTAAATAATATCCCCAAGAATAAGATAGACACTAACTCACCAAACTGAAGAAGCTTTTCTCAGACGATAGTCGTTCATCGCATTTTTGGAGCACTTGCTTTTCAAATCAACACTCTGGTGAGTATACTTTTTCGCCTACCTTAGGAAAGACGCTTTGAATTTTCCAGGAACGCTTATTTAGTAGAGCTTTCTCCTTTATTCAGATTTTTGCAGATGCTGTGGGTCTTGATCCAGCCGTTTCTAGTACGTCAAACTATGATCCCGTTCACCTCTTCAAGTCCAGTCTTTTGCCTGGTTTTGGCAGTGGCGTTTGTCAGTTGGGATCGTCCAGTTCAGCTTCAAGCGTTATGCTTCCTACTCCAACGACCCATTTCGGCGGAGGCTCCTTCACACGGGACCGTACCAATCTGATTTCTGCAGCCTTTTATCTAGCCCTTCTTGTGATCCTGCGAACAGTTAGTCGCACCGTCCATTGGCGGCGGAGGGAGATGTTGGCTTGGTCCGCTTCCACTGCTCTCCATGTTGGTCCGTCTGCATGTCTGTATCTAGTAACGCACTGGTCGTCGTATGTGAGTCCAAGAGAAGCGGTCAATTGGTTAGCGCCTACATTGTTATCGGTCCTTAACAAATCGGGCTCTGGCGTTGCGCCTCAAGATCCAAAACCCAACGCAAAACCAGCCGATCAGACCTGTGTCTATCACCCAGTGCACTTCAGCGAACCTTCACTGTGTCCTGAACACGCACTACTATTTGGATACGTTAACTCAGATGTTTACATGTCTTCTGACCCTCCTCCTGGCGTGATACATCCCAGTTGGCCCCCATGGTATGGGTTTTCACAGGCCCCCCTCGCCTCTCGCGGTCACACAAATTCGATAGCAATGGCTGCTCAGCTCCTCAGCAGTGCTGTGCCGTATTCTGCAAACGCTCGAGATCACATTTCTGCCGCCGTGCGTACGATGGCTATGCAGGTACGTGTATTGACCACGTCAATGTAGTGCTCTTTTCTAATTATGAAAAAAATCTTATCGCTGCTCATACGGGCCTTCTGTTCATACAAACAGCTGTGGCTTAGTCGAACCAAGGTACCATTGGTCAGTTTAACCGTGAGAACTGTTACTACGCCTCAGTCCACCGTTAGATTTTTTCTTGTCTCATTATAATTTGTCCCTAATTGAAGATACCTTGGTTTACTCATGCCTTCATACAGTCCTTGTTCTGCTACGTTTAAGGATACAGTATATCGAATCACGTTCGAGACTTCTTATCTGGTGTTTTTTTTATTTTTTCTTGTCTCATTATAATTTGTCCCTAATTGAAGATACCTTGGTTTACTCATGCCTTCATACAGTCCTTGTTCTGCTACGTTTAAGGATACAGTATATCGGAATCACGTTGAGACTTCTTATCTGGTGTTTTTTTTCACAGGCCGCTGCCAAGGATCCTGTCAATTGTGCTCTGCCCGCTTTAGCCTTAGCTGAGCGTAGTCCTGCCGCTTTTGATGCTGTTTATCGCCTGGTACTGCATTCCGCGGGAACCGGAGGATTGGGCCCAGTACAACTATTCTCTTTGGCCCGGTACATGGACAGTCGTGGTTGGGCTTGGCGCGCCTTTCCTTTCGCGTTGCATGCCACTCGGTTGTTTGTACTTTCAACCATGCAAGTAAGTCTGTGGCTCATCTTAATCTTCGGCTGGATCTTAATTATTTCCTTGAAGTCTTCGACCTCCTGGAAATGAAGTGTCTACCTTATCGAACTGCAGTTAGCCGTGTACTCTTCCGTTTGGATATGAGCCGAAGGGTTACAGTAAAGTTGGTTTGGTTAGCTTTTGAGCATACTGACCAGTTAACGAGGCAGCGTGTTGATCATGTCCGTTACAGCGTGTCATATATCTATTCTGGCTGATAACTGATTTTGTAATCGCTGACACTACGTTTTTCGCCCGATTCTCTTCTTCCAATACGCCGTGCCATTAAAAATTAACTGATTAGCCAATTCCATTGATTTGGATGTCGTCCTCTGTCCTGTGGACTGGAAGTAAGCACATCTACAGGCTTAGTTCTCGGAACATTCCTAAGCAACTTGTCAACCCGTGTTTATAGACTTAAATAACTATAACATAAAGGTTGTTCTTATTCTAATTTCATACAGGTATCATTAAGATGAATCGCACACCATGCTTTTATGTTGTTCAGACGTGCTGGGACACGTCTGCATGGAACTATGCTGCTTTGGTAGCTTGTTTCTATACTTTGCAGATTGCATCTCTGTTGCTCGTCGAGCGCTTTGCAAAAGTAGTCTTATGAAATAGAACAGGTGTTCGCATATTCCACTCTTTGAAAACGGACCAGCCCCATTTATTTATTGATTAGTTAGTATTATCACCACCCTTTAAGTAGGCCGGGCAGTGCGTTCTGCACGACAGTGTACACGGTTAACGTATTCAACTCGAAATCAAGTGTTGCGCCATTGGACCATAACTTAGCATTGTCACCAAGCTCAGGAAGAGTCAGATCTCGACCCGGATGCTGATTCGGTAGGTCTATTGGATGTACAGAAAAGTTTGTAATTACTCCATTTACGACTTTCATGAAACCTGTTAGTCCTATTCTAGTCGGCAGGATTTTGTCTCCTCCTTTAGGATACAGCTTTTCGGTATTCGTCGTTAAAGTACGTCCGTAGAAGGACGAATATCATGCCGAGGATGACCTGAGCAAAATGTTACTATCTCTTCGTTTAACAGAATTTAAACGCCTGACCCATTCGATTTTTAAGAAACTGACGAAAATTGCTGATTGCAATTGGATTTTCTACTTTAGCTTGTTTCCCGAAGGTACAACCCTGCACGGCTTTCAATACACTTTGTTACTGATTTTTCAAAAAGGTTCTTAATTTATGCCTCCAAGTAACTGCACTGAGAAACTAAAATCTAGAGTCTAAACCGTCAACCAATTGTGTTTCATTCATCCGCAATTTCGATTGATGAACATCTGAGTCATTTATCTCTTGGGATATTCCGTTTTTATTTCCTCCCTGATTTCTCGTGTCGATTTACATTTTAGCGGGTGACTAGGAGCTTCGATTCAGACAATTCACATAAGCTGGGTCTCCTTGTTGTTTCATGTCAACCATCCATCTGTCATTTCGATTAGCACACCAGATTGTTATCATCAACACAGACTGCATTATCACCAGGCTGTGACCTACTTTCATTGTGAAGCAGATTAGTTCAGGTCTGTAGTGAAATTCAGACACGCGCGAGTGTGGGAATGCATTTTATGTCGTAGTGGCAACCGATGAATTAACATTGAACTCTACAAACAGGGAGAGTGTTTGTTTCAAACTTCCTTTGTTCGCTGATGATTTGGACGGCTTATCGCGAGTTTATAGGTTTTAGGGTCTGGCGTGATAAGTTCTACCTTGAAAGGAACCTCTGGGTAATCTGTGAGACTGCCTTACACTGGTCATCCAAATGTTCGGATATAGAGGCCCGATTATGACTATTATTATCACTCTTGCGCTTCTGTCACCTTTCTCCACCGTAGGATAGTCACCCGGTCGCTGGCCACGTACTCTGGGCTTGTTCTCTTGCTCATCGGCTTGGTCCGGGACCACTACAAGAGCTGCTCAGTCACGTCATACGTAACATTCACTGTCCCACGTTGCTCACTGAAATTCTCTACCGGTGTCGTATCCCACCCGCTGGTCTGAGCGTGAACGGGCCTGGAGTCAGTCCGGTCAACGGAGCGACAGTCGATTTGCTTTCCCCAAGTTCACTTCCACCACGTGAGTTGCCTCCATGAATTTTATTTATACACATTTGCCCGCTAGCTATCAACTAGTCCCCTAAAGATCCTCCGGCTGCCCTGACCCTTTCTCAACATCACCGCTCGTGGACAACTATCGGTTTTGATTGAATCCTGATTGTATCCAAGTGACCTCGGTCGTAGCTGTTCTTTGTGTGCCAACACGCTCTACGCGCGGGGCAGGTAGGGGATTCGGGTGTAGGTGGTGGTTTGAAATTGAGAACCATAGATGATAACAGTGAGCAACCTCGTAACAGGAAGAAGTTCTTTGTATTCACTCGTTTGAACAGTCCTATTCCAGCTCAGTTATTTTAGTTAGCCCACATCAAAACGGCGCGGACTACCCGGAACGACTTAAAGCGGATTGATGTGAATGTAAATTCTATAAATTCCGCAACTGCTCACAAAAGGAAAGTTTTTCGCGGATCTGTGGTAGGAACTGAAATTCAGAATCTACAGGGATTACTCATGCTCCACGTTCATATGGAGGGGTATTTTGGAGGGAAATAGAAGAGCACTAGTTCTTCGCTAAGTATACTCATTTGCAAAGCAATTTGGTTTTCACCGGAGACCCAACTGAATCTCTCGTTTATGGTGTCTTTCAACTGAATGTGCTGCACAAAGACTACCTCATGTTTCAGTTGGAACGATATTCGAGATATCCTAGTAGAATATCGCAGTATAATATCATAAACGAGAGATTCATTTGAGTATCTCGTGAAAACCAAATTGATTTGCAAACGAGTGTATTCCTTGAAAACAGTTCAATTTGGGTTCAAGTAGAACATAAGGTTGACAGACACTCGGGAGTTGCGCCTACCTTATGAGCCCCAAGAAGGGCGAAACCGGTCGTGGAATGTCGAGTTTTCAACAACCTTGTGAGTAGATTCCTTCAAAGTTTCCACAAACCTTGTGAGTAGTTCCCTTTATGAGGACTTGTCCTTGTTTCAGATATGGGGAGAATCAGCTGGGGAGCGATCACGTGGGTCTTCGTATCTTCTAACTTGGGACCCATTTGATCCACCTTGCATATGCTCAGAAACCCTGTGGGACTTCCGTAAACGATTCCAGTCGCACGCATGCTGTCACTTTCTAGCTAAGTTCTCTTGAGCTTATTCACGAGTGGCGTTCAGCTGATGGACCCATGGTACTCGGTTGTGTCTAATTTGATGCTGTTCAAAGCTGTAAACATATGCTTGACCATTTTTCCCAAGGACATAGGACTTCTTTGAACTCATTCCGTATCTTTCTGTTTTCGGTCCGCTCTTTACCAAAGCTTTTTTTCGTCATGGGTATATGGATTTTTCATATTGTTTCGTCCGCTGCTTTAGGAATGTTGTTGCCATCAGGCGCGCTCACGGACCAATCCGAATTAGGCACTTCTTTCGCTAGACCCGCTAAGGTCGTGAACTTGATGCAGCCCGCTATCCGCAATTCATTGATCGGTGAAACGTTTCGTACAATTGTTGGATCACTTATTATCGATTATTTTTCATTTGTTGCTCAGCTTACTTACGGATGTTATTCTCACGCTTTGTCCGTATTGCCCGGCTGTTATTGACCAGCTACCACTGTGTTCTAGTACTAAGTCTCTGTTTGGGTGCATTTTCATTCACGTCCTACTGGTTATGGGTATTGGTAACATTAACTCAGAACGCAAGCGTGACCAAGAATCTTTGAAATGAAGTTCCTCGGGGACTCGAGTCCTCAAAGGAACCACTATGACAGGCTGTCTCCTATTGTCGTCCCGACCATTCTGACACATTGTCCTTAAGTGTAACTGCCCTGTTGTCCAGCCCCCACTACATACATTAAATGCTGGGTATTATCTGTGGGCAACTCAGCGTTTGTGACGTATTTCTTTTACTAACCAGAGGTCTTATGGTCATATTCCAACCAGATGGAAGTTTTTACAAGCGGGATTAATTAGCCAGCCGTCTTTTTTGCATGCAAAGCAAGTGGCCGCCTTCAGCCTCTGCCAAATTACCGGAGCCACCTTGAATGAATGCTTCTAGAAAAACCAGCAGATTAAATCAGGGAGTGGGTAGTAGTTTATATCTAGTGACAGTCTCTTACATCATGACGTCTCAAACAGAAGTCTATCCAGATTCCAACACCTGGATTCGTCGAACGGGTGAACCTGCTCATCAGCTGAATGGCCCCTTATATGATTGTAACCACAAGTGGACAGCAGCTGTGTATTACGTTGGTCACAACAATGGTAGCCTCAGGGGTGAACGTCCTGTCTCTATATATATCTACCAGGCCGTCTACTTCTCATTTTCCTTGTGGCATAAGCAGTTGTTGCTTCAACTGGCTTTTCTGCTACAATAGCTTTGCGTCGTGTTGCCAATTAAATCGCATGTTTATGTCTTGACTGGAGATTTTTGTGACTCATCTGTATGGAACTTTGTGACATGCCGAATCTCGTACAACTTACTTCCAGTAGGACATATCCGTTTGGCATAATGTGACCACTATCCAATTTCGACCGCGTTCTTCGCAGAACACCGACCGCGCACTACTATGCTTATTCCATAGCCACTCCGCAACCGAGTACTTTTCATCTATTCGAATGACTGTTGGTAGTACACCATGGTCCTGCGGTGCTTTACGTGCCTGTGGATTTATTCTTTCTTCCTGTCGATCATCATTCACCCCATTACATCGCGGCTTCAGCGAGTCTTCCACGATATTCTGCAAACTCATTACTTGTCCGTGTGCGTACGACGGTTTACGTGGCGCGTTCTGAACGTCATCCTCTGTTAACAGATGAATATCTTGTGACGCGTAAAGGGATATGTGCACGTTCTGTTTTCACTGCATTCCTAGTACCCGCTGACTCAGCGCGCATGTCGCAGTGCTTCTTTCATCACGTATGCATGTAATTAACACACTGGTTACCACATTTGGCTTTGTGGACGAGCGGCACAACAAGAAAACGGTATCTCGATGGATAATAGACTGGTTCGTGGAACACACACTAACGAAGAACTGCAGTGGGCTTAGTGGATGGAGACATTGTCCTTTACTACCAAATCCATTTTCATGTTAAGGTCATTGTTTGCGACCCTGAACATAGTATCGATTGAGTCCTTGATATTTTTATTTCCAAATCATGTTCTCGGGTTAATTTTGTTGCTAGTACATGGTGATTTGGTAATCTTACTAGAATTTTCACCCCACAAACGTGACCTATATTTTCTGAGAAGCCGAGAAGCGCTATACATCATCAGCAGGGCGCACCTCACAATTACCTTCTGATTAGCATACCGTTCCCCCAAAGCGTCTGGGACTGAATATAGAGCCTTAAATCTTCAGTCACACGAGTCAGATCAAGTGTTCACTTTTTGACCTACTCGATTGACGACTTAGATCGAAGGCTCGTGAGATTCGCGGTTTTTTTTTCTAAGCGGGTTAGTTGTTGGCAATATGAGGAGATTTCGGATTTTTTATGCAGGTGTCAATGCAAATGAGCTACCCCCACTGCTGATGAGCCATTCGTGCCCGAACAGTGCGCTGTTTGACTACCAACCAGAAGGTTGAGGGTTCGAATTCCTCCAGAGTTTTGTGACGTGCACACTGCTGATTATTCCCAAGAAGGATGAAATAACTGTACAGTGTTTCTCGGTTTTAGCATAAATTGACCTCCTTGGCCAGGTAAGGTCTCCATTAAAATTCATTTTTCTTCCCCGGTATATTCACCTTGTCTGGTCTTATACTCTCCTTCCTCTGGATAGTCGAAGTTCTTGTCCAGGATTTATTCATGATAGAGTTATGTCTGTTTCAAGCTGGCCAAACGTGCTTTCGCATACCGAGAAGCGGCCTTAGAAGTTTTGAGCTCATCACATTCAAATTTACAACCTGAATGCACAGTAGATAGACTGGAACTTTGCTGTGGAATAACGCGGTGCTTCTCCATGGTAGTTACCATCATGCGATTCAACCTTGTTGTTGCTGTATGTGACGAAGTATGTTTCTTGATGCGTTGTAGTATCCAAGTATGTTGAGGTATGGTAGCCGTCATACATCTGATAGTTTCCTACATAACAATATATACAATATATAATAATCGATTGTTTGCATCTTTCCAGGCAACCCCCCATCGAATTTTGGCTCTTCCGCGCCTTACTATCATCTGGAAAATGGCAAGCTCCTCAGTTTAGACCGACCTCCGCTCAAATGTTTACTTGGCGCAGCAATCAATGCTTTCGTCACAGCCACACACACTCGTTTGTCCAACATTAGTCCTCGTCAGTATGCGGAGTTCGTGGATTTTCTGACCCGTGCCCGCGACACATTCCATCTGCTCAGACCGGATGGTCCGGCTCAGTTTCGGAGTTTGGTTGAATGTCTAAGACAGACCTACCGCGGAAAGCGTAAATTGGTCTCCCTTCTAGCAGAACGGTTTGGATAAGTCGCCTCCGTCGCATGCATTATTTGACGCTGGCTTGCACAGTGAGTTCAAACTGTTTCACCAGTCCTTGTATACCTCGGGGTCTCATTGTAGAGGGATTCACAATCAATGTGGAAATCCTCCCAGCTGATGCGCATCATTCTCCAGTATGATGGACCTCTGATCCCGAATTCTTTTGCCCTTTTGAAGACTGTCTGGCAGTAAAAAATTGAGATTCCCTAAGTTAATCTCTAACAACCACATGGCCTTAACGCTGAAGCTTTATCTATCGGAGCTCATAAAACTTAACTCCGCTGGCTGTCGTTCATCTGTCGTTTGTATTGACAGATGGGTTCCAGATTTCCCTAAACATTTCTTCATAGCACGCGCCTTCACCTCGTTACACAGCGTCCAGCTGCTCGCGTTCGCTTGTGTGCTTTGATTTACCAACCTTCCGCCTGTTAGTACATAGCACATTTTTTGTAATTAGTACCTTCATGCGCCTAATAATATACTGCAGGTCAGGCGCTCAATAAATAACTAGGGTTGGAAATAGTGCGATGTGATGTACTAATTTATGTATGTCACGTTATCCATATCTCAGGCAAGCGTTATTTGCGATCGTTCTGAAACTGACTAGCTCCACACTGAGTCATCTTGAAGAGTGGTTGTCGTGTCTGTTATGGTCGTTTTCTTGTTTTTCACTTGTCGCTAGTTGACACTTGGATTACTGTACAACGGATCGGCATTGCTTTAGTGTCACAAGATAATCCAGTTTGTTCCTTAATTTCTAATTGTTATGCTTTACGCTAAGTGCATGTGAACTTCAAGCACTCTCTACTTACTTTCAGGACTGCAGTCAGGCTGCCGAACATATGTGCCTGAAAAACATTACCGGACACTTCAAGTCAACCCCTTGCTCCATCCTGCCCCCCACCAGTCCATACTTTTCCCTTTGTACCCTTCTACTATTGTTTCTATCAAATACACTAGAAGTATGCAGTCACTTTTTGTTTGGAGGTTTTCTTCCAACTATCGAAGTATGGAATGGTAAGGGAAGAGCTCCGTAGATTCGTCTGGTCGGAGTCAGCTTTCATCGTTTCGTGTGTCCACTAGGATGTTCATCTCCCAATCTTTTCTATGGCTTGCCGATCGATTGTGCTTCCGCACGTTGTTCGACCGCGGAATAATTACCACTGCGTTTAGCTGTGGCAATCCGTATTTGGTGTTTTTTAATTTGAGTAGGATGGTTTCGTAAGGGAAGATAAACGTACGCTTGCCATCGTAGATACCGAGCGTCACTTAGCATGGTTGTTCAGAGTTCTCATTTGAAATGCTGTGGATATACTCTCAAAATAGTCATTATTATATTCTCATGCTGGGCATGGTCCACATGAATCTTTGCTTACTGGAAAGATTTCTCAACTGAAACTGTCTGTTTTGTGAACAAAAATACTTTGTGCGTTGTGCTGTCATCAAAATACAGCCGCTTCACTGTGAAAGCTCCGGTTTATGCAGTCACCTCCTCAACTCGATCGGTATTGGCTTGTTGGGTAGACTTGATTAGCTAACTTTCTTTGCTCATATCAGGCGATAGCAACATTTTTATGAATTCGCAGTCTTATCTGGATGGAACTATACAGCAGCTGGCCAAGCTTGTGGTCCGTCGACGTATTATCATTAAAAACAACAATTGAGCTATGATCCATGTCCGAACTGTCAGTGCGCACTGTGCTTAGCCATGGGGATTTCGGTACATTAATGTAAATTATCATATCGTCGGAATTATCGTACAGTGTCTTCCTATTTGAACACTTTGGGTTGCTTCCGTCTTGCCTGAGCGAATTGGCCCATTTTTAAGCAGTTTTCTTCGGATATTGTCTCGGAAACTTCACTAGAAGTCAAAGATTTCAGCCAAGCAGATAAAGGACATCCTTTTCGTGAAGACTGGTGGTACCTTCTGGGTAGTAGCCTGAACACACGATCAAGTACTATTCAATGGGTCGTGCAATTCTTTGTGACCTCTCCTGCAGCTCACTCTGAGTTCTACCTTTGTTAGAACTTGCACAACCAGACGTAACTTGTAACTATTCCACATCACCAAACACAGAAGGAATTATCACCTATATGTTTGATTCGTTGTCCAGTGTTCCCCACAAAGCGTGCTTGTGAAATGGGACCCAGTAGAGTTTCAACCGTTGATCGGTCAGTCGCTAATCACGTAAGATCCCGAAACAAGTCATGAAACTCAGTGGATGTCAAGGTCGGTTGGTCTGTATCAAAGTGGCGACGACTCCCTGTTTGATTTCAGTTTGGTCTTTTACGTACAATTCTACCAAAAGTCCTGTCACTTAGTGTTAAATGTGTGCATCGCGTGACAGTTACTGGCTGAGGACATTTTCGTTTGACCATTTCGTATCCATGATTCTATATTCCAGGACAATTTACTAGGAAAACCATCTCTTCCATGCCGACAGCGCTGTACATAATATTTAACTCACTGGTTTCGTTTCACACTTGTGAACGCGCTTAACGTTATCTGGCGTTAACTGTCAGTCCGTTAAGCTGTCCAGCAAGGTCCACGACTTGCACAAACCTCATTTTGGTGAAATCACTTGAGGTTCCCTCATCGAGGAATGCCTGTTCACTCGCTTGGCCTCATTTCCTAGTGTAGCTCGATAGGCGGGTGATCACACTCAAGCCAACTCAAGGGGTAAAGTGTTCACTTGATTCACCGCATGTCTGAGTGTTCCATGGAACAACCCGCGTTACAGTGGCATTAATTCAGTGAATGATGCTTGTTTACTAGGCCGACCTCATTTCACAGTATTACACAACACAACGACCAAAATAACAGAAGAAAATAAACATGTGTTCGGATGTTGCGGTTTTGTGGCATGCAAACCAATAAATTCGTATCATCTACGGTAGACCATCCTCCACTCATCTAAGGTAGGTTGAATGTGATTTGCTCAGTTATCGCTTGTGGGAGCTCCTCTTGTAAAAATATTCCCAAGCATTAAATGTGTTTTGAGAGTGTTTTCTGTTCCTAATAAGGATGTTCAAGAATACAGCTGTCGTACATGATGTCTGAAGGGACTGTTCCGTTTCTACGGTTGTGCTTTACTTGGGGAAACCAGCCGGGATTGTGTGTGAGGTACCTCTCTTCTGTCGTCTGAACAATTGCTTTTGGATTCCTTGTGAGTAAAAAGTACTTGTCGCCAATCTAAACTGTGTCGGAAAACCTATCTAGATGAAACTTCCAGCTTTTCAGTCGTGCTCCGCTCCTTTTAATGGTGCTTAGAAGCATATTTCTTACTTGGTGTTTCCAACAATTCACGACCACATCAGTTGAACGATTGGAACCACTGTTTCGTTGCATTGAAGCATTATCGTCCCCCGTACATCAAACTGGAGTACTCAACGCCTGTGAGTCTTTAGGTCTTGGATTATCTGTATGCCTCAAGCAATGGGTTGAGTCCCTGATGCTGATCAAGAATATTTAACGTCCGTGACCTTCGGTATTCAACCGAAATCTCGTTTTCCTGTCCGAGTCATCTGATATTCTCTCTCAGGCATAGCTGTTTTTCCCAAACACTAGATATCTACATCGTCATTTTGCACAATACTCGTGTCAACCCTGGACAAATAAATGTTTGGTACTTTAATGTACAGTGGGACAATGAATTTGCTTCCTAGACAGAACTAGGGAAGCAATCGACGGAAATTGGATTGCCTCCATGATCACACGTGAGTAGTTCAGCCATGGTAACACGCATACGAGTGACACTGATTCAAGGCAATTATGAGCTCGTTCGAACTATAGCTGTCAGTTCAAAATGGCATCCTCAATCCAACCGTATTGTCAATGTTTGGTAGTAACTTAGACTCTTGCATCACATCCCATCTTGGTTTTAATCACTCAAAATGTTAAGCTCAGCGAAACTTCATAGTTTGTTGACAGATCCCAGCTGTTGGCAACGTGACTTTTCAATGCTAGGTTCTGTGCTTTGGTGATATCTGGAATTCCGGTTGTGTTTGTACTCGACTGTCTAGATATTTCGCTACAAAATTTGAGCGACGTCAATTCTAATTTCCTTTTTCATAAAGCTTTCCGCCTACTCAGGACGGGGAAACGAAAATCTGGGCATGCCTTCGATCAAATGATTTTGTGGAAGATGTAGTCAGATTCACCAGGTTGTTTTCAAACCAGACAATTTGAAACGCTGTTTCACTATCTATATACTTATAACTAAATCTGCCTCTCAGCTGGTCCAAATGCTTGACTACCATGTTGAAACTGACCGATTGGCCAACTTGTGTTTACTCATCAGAATGACGTGAGGGACTGAAATAAGTAGATGTAAACAAACAAAAATGGAAGTTGGCACCGGGTTCATATCATACGAACAGTTCAATTAGTGGACTGCGAGCGGAGGTCATCTCAAAGAGGGATGTCAAACCGACGTGTTCAGAGATACATTGAAACTGACGACATTGGTTAGCCGTCTTAGACGTTGGAACCTGGCTGATCAACAAGCCGGTGTAAATGATCATTTGAGAAACGTGAATGGCGAACTGGTATCATGCGTTGTGTTGTTTGTTGAGCTCAGCAGCAAACTGATTCAGTCACCATCAGAATTCTCTACTTCCCGCACCGGAACTGAACTCTGAACTAATTGATTCTCCTTGTTAATTTTGCGAATTCTGCGCTTCGTTACTTGCGTTAAAAGGTTATTGGTTATTGCGTTATATGTAGCTCTAATATTCCCAGCGTTAGGGAGATAGGTTTAGTTATTTGATAAAAATACCTAGGTATTGGGTGAATGCTTGCAGCCATACGGTTGTATTACAGAAATATTATATTCGGAGAGTGATTTGGAGGGACTGCGTTTTGCCTTCCGACGACATCGTTACTTGCGTACAATTAGCCGTCCAAGTCTACTTTATGAGCCCCAGGAAGGGCGAAAGCGGTAGTCTCGTACTGCGTTAATAAATGGCATGTTGTGACGTCACGTGAAAGACTGCTTAGAGGTTGTTTGCTCACCCGCTCAGTTAGGTTACCTTGAGGTGATTGACCTAACAGTAGATCATGGCGTCACAGAGTACTATTGTTATGAATACATAGCATGTACTGTGTGCCATAGGAGACAACTAGCTATCGTGGCACGGTTTCCAGGTCGCCCAAACAACGAGCATCATAAAACGGACGACCTGATTCGGATGCGCCCGACACACTTGGTGTATCATGGAAGCCTAAACTGACTGAGTGTGGTATGGTCCCAGAGCAAATAGAAACGGTCGATCCAGGTATCACTAACACATCCAACGATTCCAGAGCGGGGATAAACTCATCTGCTGCGGATTTGTTTCCAAACAAAACAAACGAGTTGCTTTGACGTTTCTAACTCCTTCCAACGGCGTTAACACAAGTGTGAAAAGTTTGTGTTACTTCACTTGCATGACTCACGCCTGGTTTTTATCAGCAAGGCAAAGAGATTGTCTAAAACAGGTGATCTGAGACAAGATTGTGCTTAACTTCCCTTTGAAGATAGCAATAGGTGGTTGTGCAGACTTCAACAGTGGCATAGCATTAGTCCGACGTTTCTGTGTGACAAATCTGGAAAGGACCCTGGTAACAGAATTTCCAGATGGCTTGATCACATTACTGTTGTGTGTGAACGGCATGAATCGGAAACATATTAAGTCCCAATGAAACCAGTTTGTCTATCGCACATAGCATAAAAGAAGTATTCTGCGGCAGTTCGAAGCCTGCGAAAGTACGGAAATGCCAAAGGAACGCATTACTGTTGCACTGTCGTCGGGGATTAGTTGACGTCCCTGACTGGGAAAAGAGCAGGGTGTTTCAGTGATGTGAAAATGGCCAAGCTGAAGATACAGCGTAAAGCATATCGGAGGACTTCCTCGAGAAGTGGTTTCGTCAATTCAACAGCAAAATGATCCGACAAAAAGGATTAACGCTAAAAATGCCGGATGTCC